AGCACACACAAAAGAATAAACACCCACTTCACATATGAACCACTAATATCACCGTGAATCTCAATAAACATATTACATAACTCCTCAGCACACACAAAAGAATAAACACCCACTTCACATATGAACCACTAATATCACCGTGAATCTCAATAAACATATTACATAACTCCTCAGCACACACAAAAGAATAAACACCCACTTCCCCCACTCTATCCCGGGTGTGCATATGGGTACGCGGATAATCTTCACCTCTGCAGATGTGCTGCCCTCCAGCGGCAACTGTTTCTAGCGGCTAACCCCATTGGTTTACTTGTTTACATAAGTTGTGGTGTCAGGAAACACCAGCCAAACCAATTCGTTAGCACACACTGCGTTTTTGCATCAGCATTTACCATTACTCTCGTATTGCTGCTGCTGATCAATGGAGAAACTTTTTACAAGTGAGTGCTGAATGCTGTTATGGTGGACTATTTTCGATCTCAATAGGAACTTGAAAATGCACTGTTTCAGTGTGATAAAATGCTACATGGGGTTGTTTTCAAGCTGGCAAAAATAGTATTCTAGTGGTTATAGTCACCCTTTAGTTACGTTAGTTTGAGACTGTGGTAGGAACATTATCGGTATTACTATCAGAAGAAAATAATTAGATGTATGGCTTAATTAAATAATAGTTAATTAAAAGTAAAATATATGTTATTGTAATCATATTATTGTAAACAATTTCATAGCAACTGTGTAGTGAAAGACTGGACCTATAATATTAACATGGTACTTTGCAGAGTTGCACAGGCTGGTGTATATCACCCGGGAAATATTTTAAATTGAATGTTATTTGTGTCTTATCAGATCAGTCGTGGTATCAAAAGTTAATAAATTACAAGATAATGGGGTTAGTAAAATACTCCGCATTTTAGTCACCAGGCTTGGAGGAGTTTTAATTGTTAAAAACAATAAATTCCTGGTGGAAACTACCTAAAAGTAAAAATGTCAATTGCAACATCACAACTTAAATCAGTGTTCCAAGATATAAGAAATGGCACCAACTATTTTTATTTTATGGAGTGTCATTCTGTGGGTGATAGTTATTCATTAATGCAGTGTCTTATTGTTTTTTTATTCCCAGCTACAGGTTGAGATCTGGAGCAGGAGTGAGAGAAAGTGCTGCCATCTACGATGACTGTTGAGGAACCACCTCTTCGTGGGCTGCATAGACTGGTAATAAATCTAGAGACATGATACAAGATTGCGTGGCACAGCTTTGCTGTTGATCCCGAGCGCTCCGCGCGGATGAGATGCGCAGTTCCGCGGGATATGCGCACGCGACCGCGGGGATGTTCACGTATGAAGCGCTGTCCGCAGTGGAGACGTGCACCAAATTCGAGGCCCGGCGCATGTCTCCACAGCGGTCAGCGGATGGTCTGTAGTTTTAGAAGATAACAATGAAGACTTTGTTCTAAATAAGAACTATCGGCGGCTAAATAAGAGCAATATACAGACCTTTGAATTTCTTGACTAGTCAGTCAAAGGGCTTGTTGGGGGTCCATTATGCAGAGCTTCCAATTGAAATGGCCCATGAAATTGTCAAGTGGAATTGTGTTTTTCGGTACCCCAAAGAAAATGACTCCTTCTTACATGCACCCCCTCCCTGATCAATCATGCATTCAGGCGTAAACAATAACAGAGATGAAATTGTGTTGAGTTTATGGCTCTTGGCGCACGCGCATTGACGTACAAGACTGATGAAAGGGCTGAAGGATAGAGAGCATGGTTGTGAGAGCAAAGCCGATGTGTTACGCTACATAGTTGTCAATCTCGCCATGCTCTCTATCTTTGTACCACAGGCGGCTTGGAACGTCTCGATAAAAATAAATCTTCACACAATTTTTCACAATGATCGACCGCCTGTGTGCAAAATAGGTGAACGTATGTGAAACATATACGGTTAGTACTTACTGTTGTGACATATCCGTGACTAACTGACACCACTAAATTGGTAAAATGTTCCATGCACCTTAAGAAATGTGAGAAATTGCGAGGTTATCATCGCAGAACTCTCGAACACCGTACGTCACAAAGCTATAATATATGTAAACAAACACGCGGGTTGCGAGGTGCCTGCCTCCGATATCCATTTCGAGGCCCGCTAAGCATAAAGCGCGAGGGCAAGACGTCACAAACACAGCTACGTTCATTGGCTAAAACAATCGAGTAGCGCAGTTAGGGATTTTTGGAATTATTTAATTTTAAGAAAAACCTCAATGTTCAATGAATGACGCACTTCGTTTACTTCCGAAAGTGGGTAAAAATGCCTAATTTTTCCACTTCGGTGCGAAATGCATCGGCCGGGCCTTTCATTATTTACGAAAAGCAAACAGTCTCGCCAAACACCTACATGCAGTAACGGGTCACGTCGTTGACGCCCCATTCATGCCCATCAACGAAGAAGGCGGGGCTTATTCTGATTACGGAGATGCCAAAATGCAACAGAAGGACGTAGCGCAGTGCGCTAAACGGCATGCTATTTTCGTTTTTGTGCCAAACTCTATCGTAGGAAATCGTTCTAGCCTAGCAGAATGCCTTAGTTCCTGAGATCGGCGATTTGGTACTGTGATGGGTCCCCACCTTATATTATATTATAGAGAGGTGCGGCGTAGGCTGTGATTGGAAGACACAAAGTGTCAATCCTCGGCACGCCTCGGCATCATGGCCGTATCACGTCTAGGACAGGTGTTCTTACCCCAAGTCAGATGTGCCCCTATCATAATTAAACAGTGTAGAGTGGTAATTTTTAGTCTGGACATGTTCTTATAATATTTCCTAGCTGTCATTTAGTTTTATCATTATTATGACAAGTGCACAAACTGTATGTGAGGTGAGGGAATCAATGGCTCTTAACAGTTGAAAATCAAAATAAATTTTAATTAATTCCTTCTTGTTAAATCTTAAAAAATCTTTATTTCATATATGATTATTTTACACACTGTCCTAATCGTATTATATATTGTTATGTTATAATGAATTATATTATAATTATGAGAAAGGATGTGCAAGTTAATGGTGGGCAAAATAAGACCTTCAATTTCGAGTCAATTGTAAATGTCCTAGAAGTAGTGATAGCAGTCGTAACTATGGTAATAGTTATAGAAGTGTCATGTTGCGGGACCTTTATTGATGTAGTCTCAACACTTTTCCTGATTCTCTGCTGATTTCTCGTCGACACTTTGCATATATTAATAGCAGATGAGCCACGAAGCAGAGCGGGTGCTAAACCAGCTGAAGGAGATCACGGGAGTGGAGGATGTCTCTGTGATAGGTACGGCCATGGAGGCATGCAAGAACACTGAGGGCAAGTACGACCTCGAGAGAGCCGTCAGCCTTCTAGTGGACGAGCACGGACAGATGGTGCCACCCACCGCTCAGGTACCTAGTGCCAGGGCGTCAAGTTCCTATTTTTTCCTATTTTTTCCTATTTTCTGGGCAATTCCTATTTTCTCCTATTTTCTGGACAAATTCCTATTTTTTCCTATTTTCTGGGCAATTCCTATTTTCTCCTATTTTCTGGACAAATTCCTATTTTTTCCTATTTTTGAGGGCTTTTTATTTTTCTGAATCCAGAATTGTATGTATCCTTTTCAGAATGCAGGAATTTACATTTCAGGTGACCCAATTTTCAAAAATTTTCTGGGGGAGGACCCCCACCCCTTACTTTAAATTAATGTAATATACTCTTTACTATCACATATTTTATTTCAGTAAAGTTGTTTCTCAGTTAGATGTGGTATGTGTATCCAGAGGGGGCGTCCAGGGGGTCCGGACCCCCTCTTTTTTACCCCAAAAAAGAGAAAACACATAAAAGATAATTTTTTGCCTGAAATTTTGGAATTCCATTTTGCATTATAGACATCAAAATTACTGCTCAGATGCTCTCAGAATGCACAAATTTTTAACATTTTTCTTGTGGGAGGTCCCTCTAACCCCTCCCCCCCCCCCTAAGTGGCAACGTGCCTTAGACACGTCGCATAAGCTGCCTTTGGCACGTTTTTATAAAAGTGCCCTTTATTTCTTACTGGACCCCCCCTTTTTCAAAAAGCCGGATCCGCCCATGTATATATGTACGTCATACTATTTTGGAGTAGTCTACATGTATGGGTGCTTATGCATGTATAAACTGCTTATCAATTTTAACATGCATTTCTCATTAAAACCTCAAAATATTGTTCGCATGTGATGTAACTCCAAATATGTATATTAATAAAACCATTTGTGGTGGATCGGGATGGCTGTAGGGGTGTTGGGAGGCCATCTAACGCAACAAATATTCCTATTTAACATATATTTTCTCACCAAAATTCCTATTTTCTTCCTATTTTTTCACATCTGAAATTCCTATTTTCCTATTTTTTGAGCGTCACTTGTCACTTGACGCCCTGTAGTGCTGACATCGTTTCACACCAGTATGCTATCAGTGGAGTTGTAGTGGTACAGGTGGATGCGAACTAACTCGCATGGATATTTTTCACGATGGTAATCAACCGCAGGTTTTTAGCTCACCTTGACATCGTCAAGATGAGCTATTGCCATGGGTCGTTGTCCGTCGTACGTCCGTCCGTCCGTCCGTCCTTCCGTCAACATTTGGCTACGGTCAACGATAACTCACGAACCGTTTGACACACGTGTTTGAAATTGGGTATAGTTGTTACTGCTATGCTCCCATATTGAACGTCCTATTTTGGAGCCTGCCAGTCGACGTACTTTCGAGCCACGGCAATTTTTTGGCAAAAATGGGAATTGCCATTAGTCAGTTCAACGGATTTTGCTCATTTTTGGTATGTGAATGAATAAGGGCTAGGGGTTTTGATATTTAAAAAAAAATTATGGAAATTAGGTAGCATTTGGCAATTATATAGCATATTTTGTTATAGACACGCAGATAACAGTCTGTGGTGTCACACTCGTCTGGTTCATTTTACAAGATTTCATTGACAATATCTTTAATGCAAAATTGGTATTTCCTCTCCACCCTGCCGATAAAACGTCTATATTAGAGTAAAGTTTTACAAAACATGTCGGAACGCAGCATAACCTATTTATTTCGAACGCCATCGCTAAGAAACATCAAAGCAGGTATAGCGCCATCTACCGTCACAAATTGTGATTCATTTTGGTTTATAAATTATTATTGCGATATACAGATGGCAACCGTGTGCTACCACCTAGAAAAACTCATACGAAGTAAACACTTCCATGCAACCAATTAACCTTTGACAAAAGTTGTGTTATGGGCAGGGAAACACCATTGTCACGTGGTATATAGAAGCTACGTGGAATAAGCGTATCCTCTCAATCTTACACGTTACACATCGGGAGCTTCGCTTTTAGGCAGTGCCTAAATCTGAATATTATAAAAACGTTAAATGGCGATCATTTAGGTGTAACGTCATCACTCGCCCACATCTCAGACTTTCACATCTCAAACATTTATTTTCACATGAAAAATTACACATATTATTATCAAGAGTATATAACGGGAGTTCTCCCATATATACTCTTCGTTTCTATAATGTACGTCGATGGTTGCTCAATTAAAACTAACACTTCTTCTCACTCACTCATTTGTGTCCTTTTTTTGTGGTGAGCTACAGTGTCATCGACACTTTCATTTAGGAACTAGTTAATAATTGTTATTTTGTCTTAAAGCACAATGTCTTTTAGTGATAACTTTAAATAGCAATCATGGATACACTTGCGTGTAATCCCCTAATTGTACAATAGTTGTTTGGATTACAGAGTAATGACTAAGTGACGAGTTTTTACCTGAGAATGTGCAGAAATGTTGCCGAGTACACCTGAGTAAATTTAGTGTATGAGTTACTCACTGCTGTGTATGCTCTTAGGTTCCAGAAACAGCGAGTAAAAACGGTCCAAATGGGATCGTTGCTCTAAAGGCTAAGCCAACCAAGAACAATCAGGTGATCGATCTAACCTGCGACACATCGGAGTCTGTGCGTGACCCAGAAGACGACCTTCAGAAGGCTATAGCATTGAGTTTGAAAGACCACGCAGAGAAGTACAAGGCACACGATCAAGGTGAAAGCTTGCCGATTCCAGTCAGCACCGAGGAACAACACATCAGCAGGTGCTTACCTTGTACATTTAAACCTGTGTTAGTGGTCATCTATCTAGAATGAACACCTATCTATAAATGACACTTGACAGTTCTTGTATGTGACCCTTATATGTAGATTGATTGTATTTACCCTGTTTTTCTATGCTGTGGTTATAAATAGATAAACTATTACCTGTTCCTAGAGATAATGTTGGTAAATGTTTATTAATATGTAATATTATTAATGTTCATAATTATCCACGTATCAATAGTGGAATAGTTTGCATGGCATCACATAATTCTCAAAAACCATTTTTACTATTGATACGTGGATAATTATGAACATTAATAATATTACGTATTAATAAACATTTACCAACATTATCTCTAGGAACATGTAATAGTTTATCTATTTATAACCACAAAAAGCAGCATAGAAAATGAGGGTAAGTACAATCAATCTCTAATAACTAAGGGTCACTCACAAGAACTGTGAAGTTCATTTTATGTGTACGTTGTATTTTTACGGGTATCTCGGTTAGAACAGAGTGATAACAGTATAGCTATCATTGTTTTAATTACAGTCTAGTATTCATTACTAGAGGGAAATTTAACCTTTTAATTAAAACAATGATAGCTATACTGTTATCACCCTGTTCTAACCAAGATACCCGTAAAAATACAACGTACACATAAAATATAATAAAAGCAAGAAGGAGAAAAAGGAAAAAAGGAGAAAAAGGAGTCTTAGTGATGGTCGTGTTCTATCCTAATTCACGTCATGGCGGGGTGCATTATAGCAGGGTCTACTGTACGTTATTCTATACTTGTAAGTCTCACTGCTCATGATCCTCTGGAGTTATGAAAGTGGGACAGGGGAGGGTGCACATGGAAAATGTCTAATAAAGCTTATCTCCTCTGAGTGCAGGGCCCTTGAGGAGAGTCTAGCAGAGAGCAAGGGTGGCATGAAGCGCAAACGAGGCGAGTGGTTCGTTGATCCGATCAACCCACACGAGAGGAAGCGGGTGAAAGGCTGGCCAGTCGGCCTCAAGAATGTGGGCAACACCTGCTGGTTCTCTGTAGTCATACAGGTGAGAGCGGGAGACGTACTGACAGTGTAGGCAAGGCTACTAGTTGAAGTCATGTGTGCTTGTGCTAAAGGCAGATTACCTGAGTTGGATTTATCAATAGAATTTATGGCACACTCGTCTTGCCGAATGCAATGACCTGAGCTGGATTTATTAATGAAATTTGTCACCCACTTGCCTTGTATTTTCCTTGTGTAGGCCCTTATTATTCAAGTGCAGGTTGTAGTTTGTAGTTTGCAAGGTCACATGCTTGTTAATCAAGACCAAAGATGTCTTTTCTTGGTTCATTTGTATCATTGTAATATTGATCTTCCCTTAAATGTGAACTCATCTCTGTATAAATTCCACTGCTTAGAAAGGTTGAATATTTATTCTTCCATGGTAATTTGCTGATGAATTTTCATTTTTTTCAGTCACTGTTTCACTTGCCAGCTTTTCGCAACCTAGTGCTGCGTTATAGCTCTCCAAACAATGATGCAGAAACTGCGATTACAATCACGAAGGTACAACTATCTGATACATTCATTGTACTATGTGATCTTGGGGATTCACGGTCTCATCCAGGAAAGTGCGGAGGAAAAAAATTTGTGGGTGGTGTTGGAGTGAGTCGGTGTCTCAACTGGGAGAGCAATGGAAGCTTAGATGGAGTGTTTTGGTGAGTGGAAACCTCATCCGCGAGAGCTGTTGGGGGGGGGGGACAGGGGTAGTGTTGTGAAAGGTTTAAGCGGTGCAGAGAGAGAGTGAGGCATTGTGGTAGGGAGAGTGGCTGGTTACAGTGGATGTTTGAACACATGGTTGCAACACACCGGAGAGAGAGAGAGAGAGAGAGAGAGAGAGAGAGAGAGAGAGAGAGAGAGAGAGAGAGCTGAGACGCGAGAGCGACTGAGCCGAGAATGCGAGAGCGAGAGGAGACGCCGTGAGCAGCGAGGAGAGCCGAGAGCGAGAGCGTGAGCGAATGAGCCAGAGAGCGGAGAGAGCGAGAGACGCGGCAAGATGAGAGTAGAGAGCAGAGCTGAGAGAGAGAGACAGACAGAGACGGACAGAGACAGAGACAGAAGACAGCAGACAGAGACAGGAGACAGGAGACAGAGACCA